ATTTATACTCTTAAAAATTTTTTTTTTTTGTTTTTTTTTTTTCCCTTTAAAAATTGTTTAATTTTTTTTAAAAAAAAAAAAAAAAAAAAAAAAAAAAAATAGTGGATTCAGTAAAACACTTGTTCATGTGTTGATGGTTTCCGTAAATGTTCCCTTTATACACACACACACACACGCGCGCACACACTCATAAACTACATTTTCTATCATCTGATTAGATAGACTGTAAGGAAATGTGGCTTATCCTTATGGTGCTTTGAACAGGGTTAACACTTGGTCGAATCTTGAACAAGTCATTCGATTCAAATGGTGATCAGAATGAACACAAATGAATATAAAACCTTTAGAAAAAGGTTTTTATAGGAAATGATGTGATTGGTTGAAATTATACATAGAAATTAAGCATTTTTATGAGTCCTAAGCAGAAACTGAAAATCTGACTTCAGACTACTCATTCCCTAACACGTTTCATGTAATACATGTTTTTCTCTGTTGGCCTCCATTTATACACGCTAAATAGGCATCAGACATCTTTTAGACTTTTTTTTATTCATTAAAACCAATATAATATTAACACTGCTAAACCAAAGTAGAACAGGACAGTTGACAACTCACGTCCTCCTTCTTCTTCTTCGATTTGCTTTCGTCTCCGTCTGCCTCTCCAGGCGCTTTTCTCTTTCCCTCGTTTGCCGATTTCTGTTTCTGCAGATATTCTGCTATCAGATCCGGACAGTCCAGGTTTTCTTCTGGCTCCCAAGTGTTATCCTCACTGCCGAATTAAGGACATAGATGTGTTTTTGTTTTTTGTTTTTTTTGTGCTTGATCTTTCAAATTACTTAAAAAAAATTGTTACATCCTTTTTTTTCCTTCTTTTTTTTCAACATTCCCATGTTTTTTGTAAACAACGTATCTGTCTGAGCTTCAGATCAACATCTCAGACATGATTTGCTTATTTATTTAAAGAAGCAAAACTGCATTTTTTTTTTTTTTTTGGTTTGAAGGTTTTATTCCAAGAAAGCTGGTTCAGAACCGGCGCAGCAGCTGGTTCTAAGAAAAAATAAAAAATGAAAAAATAAAAAACCGGCTCCAAACAAACCTTTGGAGCCGGTTTGTTTCTCCACATTTAAAGAGCCGTGACACAGAAATGTCATTACATCACCACAAGAGTCTCTTCCAGTCAATCTTCCTGGTGTTTCACTGCAAATTTAGTCTCAAATTTATTCTCACTGCACCTCGAGGCTAAAACGTGCACATATTTTAGAAAACTTTTTTTTTTTTTTTTTTATTCAATATGTTATTAAAACCTGGCCAAGGTGAAAACATCACACCACGCTCACATGCACGGGGTATCAAATAGAAAATTCACTCCAAAGCATCTGGACTGATTTTGTTCTGTTTTCTCATTACAACCTCATATTTTTTAACATACTGTAATCACCAAATGTTATGCTTTTCCCTTGAGTGCCTACTAAATTTAAGCCTCAGCTTGACCACCCCCTCCCCCACGTTTTTTTATTTATTTTTGCTTTACATCTAAATCTTAGACAAAACGCTCATTCATACTTACTTGGAGAACCCTTTCCACTTGAGAAGGTACTCCACCTTGCCTTTCACCACCCGCCGATTCAGGACTTTTTCCACCACGTACTCTTCTTCCTCCTCTTCTTCCTCTACCACTTCATCCGCCTTCTTCTCCTTCTCGGGTGTTGTTATTGTAGCCTCTGCCAGATCATAAACAGGGTTGTTTGAAACACAGCACTTTTTTCCCCCCAGCTCAAATCTGAAATATTGCTACGGTTTGAAGGTGTTGTGATGAAAATTAAGATGGTTTCTTTTTTTTTTTTTAAATCAGGGACAGAAATGGCAGAGAACACATCTTTGTACAATTGTTCTTTAACAATAATCAAATACAGAAATTTATATGACGTATAAAACCTTCGGTAACGGTGGCGCCATCGCTAGAAGGCTCTGGAGTCTGGCTCATGCTCATCAGGTAGACCTGAAGACTGACAGGTGCCTGGTCAAACACAGAGGGCAGAAAAAAAATCAATATAACTATATGGAGAGATCATTTTGGGGGGAAAAAAGAATTCTCCTTTTTCCCAGAATTCTCGCTTTAATCTTCTCACTTTATTTCTCAAAGTTATTACTTTATTGCTTAAAATTCTCACTTTGGTCATTATTGCTGTGCAGATGAGAACCTGGAAGCAACCAGCTCCACTGTCACAGTAGTGCAATAAAAGTGCAGAATGGAGGACCATATCGGATTTACGTGTCCAATCAAAGTCAGATTTTTATTTTTTTTTTTTAATTTTTATTAGTGGCCCTAATCTTCTTCCATATGCATGCATGCGTTTTCCGTGTTACTAAAAAGTAGCTAATGTGGTCTGACTTCGGCAGAGCTTCCTGCGTCTCACCGACTTCCATCCTCAGCAATGGGAGGTGTGCAACACCTGGTGGCGACAGGAGCCGAGGTGCTCCGCTACAAAGCCTACTGGAGCATGCATGAGAACATACTAAGCATGCAACCATTGTTATTTATGGAGAACAACGAGAAAAGCCTCTTCTGGTTCGGATTTCAGGCGGATTCCCCCCACCCCCTCACTTTAAGGAGCAGAGGGAGGAATCCTCGCTGAACAAAAAGCCAAGACACCCCCTCCCCGCCCCCCTTTCCCCTGTTGTCTCCTCCATGTTGCTTTTCGCGGCAGCCGCTAAATGAAGCATTCCTATCGATGGCTGCTAGCTGTAAAGAGTACTTTTACGTAAATAAGGCGCCACGCAGCGGCTGATAACTTGTTTTCAAGCAAATGCGTGGGGGTAATGACCAATTCACACATGCAACCCGAACAGGCGGCTCGGTAACGCTGAAAAAGCCCAGGCTGAGGTGCACAATCAAATGAAGCGACAAAAGGAAGAGAACTCACCGATTAGCTGTAATTTAAGCGGTGATTTAAAAGTCCCGCAACTTGACTGCAGCTGTGTTACAATAGTACAGAAAAATCACGGCTGCCTGTATTGATTTGTTGTGGAAACGCCGAGCTGCTAGCTTGATCACAACAGAGCGTGCTGCTGTTTCCGCCCCTCGGTCTGGAATGGAAAAAANATTTATACTCTTAAAAATTTTTTTTTTTTGTTTTTTTTTTTTCCCTTTAAAAATTGTTTAATTTTTTTTAAAAAAAAAAAAAAAAAAAAAAAAAAAAAATAGTGGATTCAGTAAAACACTTGTTCATGTGTTGATGGTTTCCGTAAATGTTCCCTTTATACACACACACACACACGCGCGCACACACTCATAAACTACATTTTCTATCATCTGATTAGATAGACTGTAAGGAAATGTGGCTTATCCTTATGGTGCTTTGAACAGGGTTAACACTTGGTCGAATCTTGAACAAGTCATTCGATTCAAATGGTGATCAGAATGAACACAAATGAATATAAAACCTTTAGAAAAAGGTTTTTATAGGAAATGATGTGATTGGTTGAAATTATACATAGAAATTAAGCATTTTTATGAGTCCTAAGCAGAAACTGAAAATCTGACTTCAGACTACTCATTCCCTAACACGTTTCATGTAATACATGTTTTTCTCTGTTGGCCTCCATTTATACACGCTAAATAGGCATCAGACATCTTTTAGACTTTTTTTTATTCATTAAAACCAATATAATATTAACACTGCTAAACCAAAGTAGAACAGGACAGTTGACAACTCACGTCCTCCTTCTTCTTCTTCGATTTGCTTTCGTCTCCGTCTGCCTCTCCAGGCGCTTTTCTCTTTCCCTCGTTTGCCGATTTCTGTTTCTGCAGATATTCTGCTATCAGATCCGGACAGTCCAGGTTTTCTTCTGGCTCCCAAGTGTTATCCTCACTGCCGAATTAAGGACATAGATGTGTTTTTGTTTTTTGTTTTTTTTGTGCTTGATCTTTCAAATTACTTAAAAAAAATTGTTACATCCTTTTTTTTCCTTCTTTTTTTTCAACATTCCCATGTTTTTTGTAAACAACGTATCTGTCTGAGCTTCAGATCAACATCTCAGACATGATTTGCTTATTTATTTAAAGAAGCAAAACTGCATTTTTTTTTTTTTTTTGGTTTGAAGGTTTTATTCCAAGAAAGCTGGTTCAGAACCGGCGCAGCAGCTGGTTCTAAGAAAAAATAAAAAATGAAAAAATAAAAAACCGGCTCCAAACAAACCTTTGGAGCCGGTTTGTTTCTCCACATTTAAAGAGCCGTGACACAGAAATGTCATTACATCACCACAAGAGTCTCTTCCAGTCAATCTTCCTGGTGTTTCACTGCAAATTTAGTCTCAAATTTATTCTCACTGCACCTCGAGGCTAAAACGTGCACATATTTTAGAAAACTTTTTTTTTTTTTTTTTTATTCAATATGTTATTAAAACCTGGCCAAGGTGAAAACATCACACCACGCTCACATGCACGGGGTATCAAATAGAAAATTCACTCCAAAGCATCTGGACTGATTTTGTTCTGTTTTCTCATTACAACCTCATATTTTTTAACATACTGTAATCACCAAATGTTATGCTTTTCCCTTGAGTGCCTACTAAATTTAAGCCTCAGCTTGACCACCCCCTCCCCCACGTTTTTTTATTTATTTTTGCTTTACATCTAAATCTTAGACAAAACGCTCATTCATACTTACTTGGAGAACCCTTTCCACTTGAGAAGGTACTCCACCTTGCCTTTCACCACCCGCCGATTCAGGACTTTTTCCACCACGTACTCTTCTTCCTCCTCTTCTTCCTCTACCACTTCATCCGCCTTCTTCTCCTTCTCGGGTGTTGTTATTGTAGCCTCTGCCAGATCATAAACAGGGTTGTTTGAAACACAGCACTTTTTTCCCCCCAGCTCAAATCTGAAATATTGCTACGGTTTGAAGGTGTTGTGATGAAAATTAAGATGGTTGCTTTTTTTTTTTTTAAATCAGGGACAGAAATGGCAGAGAACACATCTTTGTACAATTGTTCTTTAACAATAATCAAATACAGAAATTTATATGACGTATAAAACCTTCGGTAACGGTGGCGCCATCGCTAGAAGGCTCTGGAGTCTGGCTCATGCTCATCAGGTAGACCTGAAGACTGACAGGTGCCTGGTCAAACACAGAGGGCAGAAAAAAAATCAATATAACTATATGGAGAGATCATTTTGGGGGGAAAAAAGAATTCTCCTTTTTCCCAGAATTCTCGCTTTAATCTTCTCACTTTATTTCTCAAAGTTATTACTTTATTGCTTAAAATTCTCACTTTGGTCATTATTGCTGTGCAGATGAGAACCTGGAAGCAACCAGCTCCACTGTCACAGTAGTGCAATAAAAGTGCAGAATGGAGGTCCATATCGAATTTACGTGTCCAATCAAAGTCAGATTTTTATTTTTTTTTTTAATTTTTATTAGTGGCCCTAATCTTCTTCCATATGCATGCATGCGTTTTCCGTGTTACTAAAAAGTAGCTAATGTGGTCTGACTTCGGCAGAGCTTCCTGCGTCTCACCGACTTCCATCCTCAGCAATGGGAGGTGTGCAACACCTGGTGGCGACAGGAGCCGAGGTGCTCCGCTACAAAGCCTACTGGAGCATGCATGAGAACATACTAAGCATGCAACCATTGTTATTTATGGAGAACAACGAGAAAAGCCTCTTCTGGTTCGGATTTCAGGCGGATTCCCCCCACCCCCTCACTTTAAGGAGCAGAGGGAGGAATCCTCGCTGAACAAAAAGCCAAGACACCCCCTCCCCGCCCCCCTTTCCCCTGTTGTCTCCTCCATGTTGCTTTTCGCGGCAGCCGCTAAATGAAGCATTCCTATCGATGGCTGCTAGCTGTAAAGAGTACTTTTACGTAAATAAGGCGCCACGCAGCGGCTGATAACTTGTTTTCAAGCAAATGCGTGGGGGTAATGACCAATTCACACATGCAACCCGAACAGGCGGCTCGGTAACGCTGAAAAAGCCCAGGCTGAGGTGCACAATCAAATGAAGCGACAAAAGGAAGAGAACTCACCGATTAGCTGTAATTTAAGCGGTGATTTAAAAGTCCCGCAACTTGACTGCAGCTGTGTTACAATAGTACAGAAAAATCACGGCTGCCTGTATTGATTTGTTGTGGAAACGCCGAGCTGCTAGCTTGATCACAACAGAGCGTGCTGCTGTTTCCGCCCCTCGGTCTGGAATGGAAAAAAAAAAAAAAAGGTTTTGTTCAGAGCAAGGCGCGAGCCGAGGTTCATCGACTGTTAACGCACGCGGATTTACCCACCCGCAGAGCTGGCGCCGCCCCCGTCACATCCAGATGTTCTGTAGATCTGCCACTGCGGCGGACTGGATGGACACCGCGGCCTTCGCTGGACGATCCATATCTTGATGGCAGTAAAGAAAAGAGCCAAAAATAAAAAAAATATATATATACATATATGAAAATAAATAAATACATAAAATTAAAAATTTGAACATATAAGATATTGTCAATGTTTAAATGTTTCTTTGGTTTTATTGTTACTTATTTGTACTTATGGTGCATTCTATGTACAGAGGAGATGGAATTTCCGAGTTCCAAGATGGTAAAAATAACACAACAGGAACGTCTGTAAAAGTCAGAATCCAGTCTAATGTAGATTTCTTACCAACCATGACTATCAAAGTTCAACATGATGCTGGCTGTGCATACAAAACAGAGTACAGAGGTTTGGTACTTTTGCATCTCACAATAGAAGTTGGAGTTTTCAATAATTATTCTTTAAAGCTTTTGTAATGAATTGTTATTGTTATTATGGAAGCCCATTTCCTCTCATAAGACTTACCTATTATAGCCAAGATGGCTTAGAATTTTTTTTTGAGATTATTAATGTAGCATATAGTGCTTTGTAAAAATGGTCATACATCTAACAATCTTTTCACTTTTAATTTTTTTTTCTTTTTTTTCCTTTCTTTTTTTTTTTTTTACAAAGGTCACATTTTTAGGGGAAAAATACAACTAATAATCTGAAAATTGTGGTATGGGTTTCTATTCAGACTTCTTCACTCTAATATTCATGCATAAAATCCAGTGGAATCACGTTGTCCAGCTGTATTTTGATTACTTTATAAATGCAGCTGATCTGTGAGCAAACATTGACGAACAAATAAAATCATGAAAACCAAGGAACATAGCAGACAAGTCAGGGATACAGTTGAGGATTAGTTTAAAATCTGAGTTAAATTATACCTCAAAACTTTGAACTATCATCTCTACAAATCTGGCTTTCATGGAAAATTGGCCAGAACAAACCCATAAGAACCGCCACTCACAACGCTCACAATGTGGCCACTCACAATATGGCCGATCCAAGGCCCTCCCTCGATCGAGCGTACTAGCGTAATCTCCCTAACGCGGTGACGTATAGGACGTATCGACGCCCGTGACTTGTGACTTGCGAAATGGAGAAAGAAACCGAGAACAAGGCTCAGCCTTCTGGTTTTGTTCTTTCATCAAACACACATATCGATCAGCGAGGCAGTGTTGACAACAGCGGACTGGATAGAAAAGAAGAAGCCACGGGAGACTTTGTGAAAGTAAGTAGCTGTTGGTTAGCTGAAACTTTAGCCATCTTGATTACAAGAACAGTCAACCAATCAATCAGGCCTGTAAACAGGAAAACAAGAATAGTTCGTGAAGTTACAGCTGCTTTGTTCCACTCACTGTTCTTGATGTGCATTTTTAAAGAAATCACCAACAGGCTCTATAACTTGCTTAGTTTCCTCTTGCCTTAAACTGAGTTAAGGCATTGTAGTCGATTGTGGAGCAGACCCCGTCAGAATTACCAGATCAAGTATTTGTAGATAGCTTGGGGGCATTTTACAGTTTCTGTTTTGTGACATGATCTGGGGAACTTTGTATTTTTATTTATTGGAATCTTAATTTTCAGTCGCATTTCTCTAACTTCAATAATAATAATAAATCCAAATACTTAATAAAATAAAATGTCTTTATTTATAATAATTCTGTTTTGGGGGGGACTGGAGGGATCTCCAAAACATAGCATGCTCTGAAAGACACGTGTACCTGGAGTTAAAAAAAAAATCATGACAATGAAATTACTATTAAAATTTCTGAGCTTTGGCAATTCGGTGACTAAAAGCTGTGTCAGCTTTTTGTATTAAAGAAAGGGAAACTCAAAGGAACGGGCAAAATGTTCATATTGTAGAATATGAACTCATTTGATATTTCAACAGCCATTCTGTGATTGCGGTTTTGTATAAATGTATATTGCAATGACAGTTGTCACTATATTGTAGTGCTGCTAAATATCAAATTAGTAGATTTTTTTTAGGTGTAAGTCCTTTACTGTTTTTTTTAAAGACGACATGCTTACATAAATGCTGACAGACTAATCAATAAACCACATTTTATATGCTTTATTTTACACTGAGTGGAAATATTTGCGACTAGATTGATCATGCATCCTGAGATCACGTCAATATTTACATTTTACATAAAGAAAAAACTTTTTTTTTTTTTTGTAATTTTCAATAGACACTATGAGTCCAGAGCTGTGGTTGTTGTAGTGTAAAAATAATGTGAATGACGAAGCTAAGTATGCACGCTAGTGACTCAGCTGATAACTGACCAGCTTCTCCTTTGGAGGATGATTCATCAACTTACTGCAGCAGTACTGAAAATGCACGCTGTCTCTCAACCTGCTGATTTGTCTGTCTCACCTTCTGTTTGCAGTGCGGTTCTCAGTAGGATGATCAGTAATCACGAAGACGATGTGAGTAACTTCCTACTTTCTCCTCCACAGAGGAAATCTTTACCACCAGTTCTCGTTTTGGTCAGCAGAAACCTTTCTTTAAATAAACGTCCAGTGGTGTGCCAAAGAACAATAAGCGTTTTGAAAGAGTACTTGGGGAACTTTTTTTTTTTTTTGCAGAAGAGGCACATGCTGTTCTCAGATCTCTATCTGTCACGCAGATAAAAAAAAAAAAAAAACTTAATTGCGGTTTTGTTTAATTCTAAATGTCATATCTTCTGTTTTTGTTTTTTAGGTGTTTGTTGCAGTGCGAGTCCAAGATCCCCGCATTCAGAACGAGGGTTCTTGGAATTCATACGTGGACTACAAAATATTCTTACATGTGAGTACTAACACCGATGAGTGGCCTTTCAGAGACGAGAACGCTGTCATCTGTGGAACATTTTAATTTCAGAAATTGTAGGATTCAGTTTATTCCATGCCAGGCCTCTCACAATAAACAATAAATCAATTAATCGCATAATAAGTTAAAAGAAACTCAATTTCCATTTGCTTCATTTATCGATTTTCTCTTTTTTTTTTAGCAAAAACTGAATGCTAAAAGTCTTCAGTTTGGTACTTTGGTCTTAACTATCCCTTCTTTTGAAAAAATAATTTTGTTTACACAGACTTCATAATTCATTTTATTTGTTGTCTCTGTTCATTTTCTTTCTTTATTATTATTTCTATCTTTATTAATATCTTCCAGTTCCAATGTTTAAATGGTTATCAGAATTTAAAGTGTATTGATCCTTCAGAATGTGTTCTTCAACTGTTATGCCACCATTGCTATTATCTCACTTGAAAATGGTCTCAAAACAACAATATTATCGTTTATCGCAATAGGTTCCGGGACAATTTATCGCCCAGCAAAATTTGTTATCGTACTGGGCCTGTTTCACTCTAAATATTGTCAACCTTTCTAACACCGCGCACCTCGATAAGGACATTTGATCTGTTTAATGATCCTCAATGAAACACTTTCAGAATCATTACAGTAGACGTCTGCAGTGATAGTTTGAAAAACCCGTAAAACATGTTATAAACACATAAAAAAAACACACCCAATAACACTTAGGAAGTGTTTTATATCTCTGCTGAGTTAATAGCGTTTTTTTTAAACTACTTAAATCTACAAACATCAGGTATTTCTGCAGGTTAAAATCCCCCACAGTCTGATTTTATGCCGTTCGCGCAGTAGATTTGGTTCCTAACGTTTTATTTATGTCAGATGTTGTTGACATTGTCAAGGCAGCGGCTGGCGTTGAAGAATGCTTCGTCAGCGTAAAAAGCCTCTCGCAGATGATCGTTCGGCATGGGCGTCGACTCGTGAAATTGACCGACATCATGTGACCCCATGTGATCCCGCATCAATTTGGTTTTGGTCGAATGTTTTTGATCTGTTGTCCAGTGATTTAAATGATTCACAGAAGCTTTGTGGGAAAGTTCTGTGGAGGGAAATCGCTGAGTCAGAGGTTTGACCTTACCAGCTCATAATACACTAAGATAAACTTTGCTCGACTGTCGAAACAGTCATGGAAAAAAGAATCATGGAAAAAAAAAAAATTGAGCACACTCCACGCTTGTAGAATCACGTGTTGCCACGGTCACTCTCAGTAGTCACTTCCTGTCTGACTTCCTCATATTATGAGGTAATGTTGGACTAATTTAGGCTCATTTTTCTTTCAGAAGTGGCTTCAGTTCATTGATGTTGGCTTCACTGCGACACGGCTCTGTACAGGCCGCGCAGCGTTTCAGTCAGACTGAGGTCTGGACTTTGACTGAGCCGTTGCAGCGACTTGAGTCGTTGCTTTTTAAGCCGGCCTGCTGCAGATTTGTTGCCCCGTTGATGACCAGTTTGGGTCAAGCGTCGCCTCAGTTCAGTTTAGTTTAGTTCAATTCACAATACATGTCATCATTTGATTTTATCGATCAATTGAATTTGCCGTTTATTAGCTTTCGGAAAATCAAGATTTTTTTTCACACTTATCACACAACTGATAACTGAAACATTACGCTGTATCAAAAATGAAAACATAGCTAACAAACAAAAAATCGAGTTGATGGTTCACTTCAATAATCCTATACATTAATCAAATAAAATAAAATAAATAACCCCAAGCAAACTGTTACAGTCCCAATGAGCAGTTGTCAGCAGTTAATAGCAGTTAGCATTAGCTAAAATGGATAGATAGCATTAATAATGATAACAGTTAAAGACGTATGCGAAACATAGCAAAATTACACATGAAGCGGTGTGTGTTATCAAATGTATCTAAAATATGTGTTAAAATAAAATACTTGTAAAGAAAACAGAGCTGATGCTGATACATACCACAGCCACAGACAGCCACAGAAAAAAGGGGGAGGAGCTGTCAGTTACCGGTTACTATGGTAACCACCAACTGTCAGGCCAGCGCAACAGAACTCAAAACACCAGCAAGTTTCTGGAGAAAACAACTTGTTGACTGAACAAGACAAAGCCAAAGAATAAACAGACGCATTTTAACAAACTTCACATAAAACACTGATTGCCAAAAATAAAACTCCGTTACATGATCGCACCTGTTCCACAGTGCTTGACAGCTGTTTAGTTTCTGTTTGGTAGCTCTTTCAAACTGTTTTTCTCTTTAACTTTAACATTTAACCTGCTAACTGAGGCCGGCAGAGTCTGAGATGGACTGGGTTGTACTTGGTTTTCCCCAACTGGATATATTTTTTGACTAGTCATGACTGCAGCTCTTTAAAAATTGTAAAAAAAAAAAATAAAGAAGAAAACGAAGGAGCAAAGAAAATATTTTCCTCGGGACTTTCATCCCGTCTTTGATAACGTGACTAACTATCACGGGTTAAAGTTGAATCTGTCACAGAACGCCAAGGGGGGGGGACAGCTTGTGATGCAAACATCACAGTGGACTGTGTCACACATTACCGGAACAAATCTGACATTTAATGAAGCTTTCCACCAGCTATGAGCTCTGTGACAGTTTTAATTAATAATGTATTTTTATTTATTCCACGTACTTAAAGCTGTTTATTCTTACAGTAAAGTTTCTCTACATATTTTCTTGTTAAACATGAATAAGTGTGCATTTCCTGTCATTTCTATGCAGCAGAAGTAACTAATCTGATGTACTTTGCCAAAGACATGTAGAAAATATTATTCAACTGTTATTTTTAGTTGAGATTAACCAGTCAGCTAAGCTTAAGTAAAAATCTAGTTTTATTTTTCCATATCTATTAATCAAAAAACCAAAATCTTAACATTTTGGAACCACATTATGCATCAACCAAACAGCACAAGTCTAAGTTTGTATAAGGTCAGATAAAAGTTTAGCGACCACAGCTGGCGAGATTTGAAGATATTTGCAGATAACAACCTCCTGATTGTTGCATTTTTGTTCATCGTAGCAGTCGCGAAACATTTCCCAGAGCTCTGGGGTGATTTCACGGAGCATTTAGCGGCTGGTTCCGCGTTTATTCACGGTTTCACGCTCCTCTGTTCCGCTCTCAGACCAACAGCAAAGCCTTCACGGCCAAGACGTCCTGCGTTCGGCGGCGCTACAGCGAGTTTGAGTGGCTCAGGAAGAAGCTGCAGAAGAATGCAGGCTTGGTGTAAGTCAGTCGCTCTCTGTGTGTTTGTTGCTGTTTAAAATGAATATTGTACTGAAAGTGTGTCTTACAGAAACCCGGAGGTGGCCAGTTTAAGTAAAATGTTATTCACACTGACCTTTTTATTATTTGGTCGTATGATTTCATAAATATAAATAATGCTTGCCAATTTTCACACTTTGGAGCTTTAACTAAGTTGTTGTGTTATTCCAAAGAGCTAATAGTGTTAATGTGATGCAATCTAAAACGGTTCCTATGGCTTTTGGGAGAGACACAGTCCCACAGCATCACAGATCCGCCACCGTGGTTAACAATTGGAATTATTTGCTTTCTCACATATTCATATCTTTTTTTTTTTCTTTTTTTTTTCCAAGCCAAATTCACCTGACGTTTTTGCTGCTAGAATCCTGCTAGAGTTTAACAAACAGAAAAATATGTTTCCTTGCATGTCTCCCAGACAGACTGGCATGCAGATGGTATCTGCTGGTTGCTATGGAAACCAAGTTTCGGTTGCTAAGAGTGAGCTTTGGAGATTTGATTTTAACTCAATCATAAAGAATGGACATGGCGTGTTTGTTTTTTTATTATTATTATTTTTATGACTGCATTTGTATTGAATTGTTTTGAAACAATATGGGCTCATACTTAATTGGATGTTGATTGGTTTGTAAGTTTCATTGAATCAACTTCTGTTGTTTGACTTTACTGCAGTGTTTTTATTTTTTAAGTACTTTGTAGGATATTTAAAATCTAAAATGCTGTTATTCTTTCCAAAACAGAGACACAGTGATTCTGAGTGCGTCACTGAACTGACGTAAAATGCTCCCGAATGTGGCTTTAAGTCTCAGACAGACCAGTTATTATTAACAGAAACATCCTAACGTGTCATTATGTCAGACGTTTGAGACAAAGTAGAAAATAATTAAGACCTTGTGTTCATCCTTCAGTCCAGTCCCGGATCTTCCTGGAAAATCCTTCTTCTCCTTCAACAATGAGGACTTTCTGGAGAAAAGGCGGAGGGGACTCCAAGTCTTCCTGGACAAGTCGGTTTCCCCGTTATTTCTGAGCACAAGTTTGTTCTGCGCGGTCGGTCCGGTCTTAACGGTCAGCCTGTCTGGGTTTCAGAGTGGTGCACACCACCGTGTGTCTGTCAGACAGCCAGCTCCACCTCTTCCTGCAGACCCAGCTGCCGGTCGGTCACATCCAGGACTGCGTCCAGGGACTGACGCCGTACTCGGTGACGGACGCCATCCTCACCTACGCCTCGTCCAACCGGGGACTGGCTCAGGCTCAGCAGGAGGACTCCGTCAGGGAGCCCGGTCTCACCGTCTCTTACGAGTCCATGGAAAGGTAGGAAGATGACTACAAGGAACATTAAGTTCTTAAAATGTTTCGAAAACAAATGAAATTCAAGCAATAGGTTAGAGTTCGGAAAACTTAAACCGAGCTTGATGGTTGATTTTTATTTTTTTTATGTCATCACATGCAAAGTAAGGGGCTTTTCTTGTTCCCTCGCCACAGTCCAGCTCCTCACCTGCCGTACATGCAACCGAACGCGACGCTCGGCTCCAAACCAGCGGCCGGTGGGGATCCGGACCCTCTGGAAGACATATTGGAGCTCTGTGAGCAGAAGCCGGATGAAACGCAGCGCAGGGGAAACGCCTCGATAAGGATCTCCCAGAGGAGCGACCAGCTGGAGGCCGTGGTGGAGGACGCCGGCTCCACGCATGCTTCCTTCTACGTGGGCGAGATCCTGGACGACTCGGGGAGCCTCAGCCCCTCGGAGCACAGCTGCGTGATTCAGACTCCCGTGGAGGTGCACTCACCCATGGAGACGGGCTTTGAAGACAGCGGCGAAGACAAAACCGAAGAAAGGAAAAAGTCAGAGTCTGAAATTAATGTGGCTTCTGCGACGGACAATAACAACGTGGAAGTTGTGGAAAGCCTCTCTGAGACGCCCGAAGGCCGCCTCGCAGAAATCGAAACAGGCTGCAAACGAGGCGATGAATCAAACGAGGCGCCCCTTGAGTCAGGAGCTCAGGCGGAGAGTCAGAACGTAAACGGCGAGTCAGAGGCCGATCTCAGCGACTCACGCCGGCAAATCCACCGAGAGGAAACTGAAAACGAGGACAGAGGCGAGAGCGACGAGGACAGCCGCTCGCTGCTGTCCTCCAACGAGAGCATCATCCGGTGTAGCGAGGAGGAGAGTCTGGGCGAGGAGATGGACGACTCCGTGCGGGTGAATTCGTCTCCGGACGAGGTCAAGGACCGGTCAGAGCTGGAGGGCTCCAGTCAGAACATTTTGCACATCAACGGATTTAAGGAGAACAAAACGGACGCTGAGGACTGGGAGGATAATGACCGGCAGTACACAACTCCAGAGCCTAAACCAGCCGCTTCTGGCGGAGATCTGACTGAAAACTGTGACTTTAGCATCTTGGAGAACAGCTGTCAGTCCGGAGCAGATGAAGGTGAATTTACAGCGCAGGAAGCTCCAGCCTCGACACCTTTGGAGGGATCAGAGGAGGTGTAGGTGCATCAGTGGAGCTAAACCTACTCTGGCTGCTGCGCCATCACTGAGCCAGAACCATGGGTCTTTAGTCTTCTGTCAAAGAAACGTCAACAAGGCACAAACAAAGAGATATTCTGTTACATGAAACCTAAAAACACAGTGCCTTGCAATAGGATTTATGCTCTTTAAACTTTTTCATACATACACATTTATGTTTGCTGCAAACAGAAACTTCAGCATATTTCATTGGGATTATGTTGCAGACCAGGACAAAGCAGCGTCGCGTTTCACAGACACCTAAAAAAAATGCTGTATGCATTTTTACTTTGAACTTTACATTAATAGTTGTTTTAAAACTGTATAATTTACAATTCTCCACAACTTTGTCTTGGTCTGCCACCTTAAATCCCAATAAAATACATTTAAAGTTTGTAGTTGTGACAAAAGTACAAGGGGTATGAATACTTCTGTAAGGCATAAATCATCTTCACAATGTTTCGTCACAGTAAAGAAAGGGCATATTAACACAAGATCAACAGATTTAAGTTCTCTCCTCTTGTTGCTGCTGCAGCTTTTAAAAATAGCTGATCGGATAAAAAGAATTAAGAAAAAAACAAACAAGCACGTTTTTCATCAGTTTGATCAAGCTGATTTATTTATATTGACCACCAGAGGGCACTAGACGTACAGAGTTCACAAAAAGATGCTGCTTAATTCCTATTATTTGCCGTCAACATCTTAAACACGATTTGAATAAAGGAGATACATTAGAATAATGAGATAAAGTGTTTAAAATATACTAGATTGTTTTCCCAGAGCTTTTCTGCTGTTGGTGAATTTTATTTTGAAGTTCTACACATGAAGGTGGCGTCGTTTTAAATGGTCTTTATTTAGTTTTTTTTTTTTTTTTTTTCAAAATAACAAAGATGTTAACCAATAAATAGACTTCACATTAATTGAACCATCTGAAGAAGAGAACCTGTTTACGTTTGGGAGGAATCGCTTATTACGCTTGTTATCAGGACCCCCAAAAAATGATCATTTAAACATGGTTTTTGGAGAAAGAAATAGAAATATTTGTATTTTTTTCACCCTTCCCTTAATTCTAGTACACTGAATTGTAGATCCGTCATGTTTGTAAGCAGCCAAAAAAAAAAAAAAAAAACATTTTAAAGCTGTAAAATGTTTCCAGGAAGGCCAGAAAAAAAAATATTTGGCATCATCCCAATAATTAATAATCCCCTCCTAAATAAATATAGTCAAATTAAAAAGGTCTAGGAGTTTTATGCTGGGGATCTTTTTTCAGGGATGCTGGTAAATTTGTTTACATCTGCAGCAGTTCACCTGTGTTTACCCGAATAGCCATGTTCAGTTTCCATTTAAATTCATCTGCACTCCTCCAGTAACACTTAGTCACATTTTCTGGATACTGGGCGTAAATGTGGGCTGCTGTAATTTCCTCCCGTAGTTTTTTTTTTTTTTTCCTAAACGTTCATATATGACCCCTGAATATGTGAGTCTGATGTCCCACTGGTCAAAACCTGGTGATTTGATCCGAGATCTGTTTTCACACTACCTACTGCTTCACACGCCTGTGATTTCTGCTGCATTTTAAAAGGGACCTGCAGGTGTTTCTATTTCATGTGTTTTGAAGTAAAATAAAAGAGAATGTGGATCGAAAAGGGTTATTAACCACCAGAGTGACTTTATTCATGTACGAATTCCAAGTTTATGTCAATAAATAAGTTTATTTCTATTCTATTTCTATTTCCTTTTTTAAATAATCTCCACCGGGTCTTTCTCAGAAATTGACGTTATTGTAACAATGCTGCCACCTAGTGCTGAAAAGTAAAACAGCCACAAACTTTCAATATTTTTTTTAAATAGAAAGTTCATGCTGAATATCTTGTCTAAGCAGTTTTGGTAGTTTACTACAACCTTGACTCTTCTTGAGTAAGCTAGGCAAACCTGTCTCGTGTCATTTTATCCCTTTTCTTCTCAGCAGCTCTCCTCTGGTTCAGTCAGGTTGGAGTCACCAGAGCCATTTCTAGGTCTTCCCAGATTTGTTCGCTTTTTATTTCAATCCAGGCTCTCTGGAGATGGATCACATGAGAAATCTCAGTGTTTAGCTGCAGTCATCTCCCTCTCTAAATCTGTGTTTATCTATCCTAGTCTTCAGGGACTCACTGTCCTTCATGTTGACCAGATCCAAGTGGTTCTGGTTCCAAAGTACACAGCAGGTTTTCTTTTCTAACAATTTGCAGATTCATGCTTTGCCACAAGATCTAAATTCTTTGACTTCATTGCTTGGTTTCTGCTTTCGTAGGAGACCTGATATGGGGAAGTGTTTCATTTCGCACCGTGCTCATTCTGCTACCACTGGATCCAGACGCCAGATAATCTAAACCCAATTTTAAATGTCAGATGTTTCGCCATTATGGGCTATTATGTACATAATTTATATATTTAAAAAAAACAACTAACGTATATTATTAAAGTTAAAGTAAATTTCAATGTTCTGGTTTTTCAAGGATGTTCTTCTCCTAGATTTTAATTATCAGAACAGTGCTGCCACCTAACGTTCAAAATTGAATGTAAATGAAGACAAAGAAAATCCAAACGTTAATATTTTTAATTTAAGACGCCTTGATGATTTATTAATAGTACTTAACATGCACATAACTCTTAAATGTTACAAATAAAGAAATCAAAATATCCAAAGGCCGTATAGTTACACATGTTGCTTATTCTGATATTTGATAAATGCATCAGCCTGGGTAAACGGTGACTTTCAGTGTGCATCGGTCATTTCTGGATGAATACGTCTAAAATTACAGTTCCAGTTTCCACATCACATAAACGTGATCTATGGTGGACAGGAGTATCTACCAAACACGCAGGATCTGCATCATGAAAGGCGGGAAAGAAAATCGTGTCCGTATCCGTCGGTGGAGTCACGTCCGGATGCGTCGAAGAGAGCGCGCTGCGGAGGAAACGGAAAAATAAATTTGAAAGAAATCAGTAAAAACACGCATTAATAATTCAGAGTCCATTTTAAGCTGCGCCTATCTAACAAAATCACAGAATCATTTTCTTAAATAGGACAACCGTCGCTGTAATCAGGCTTTCGTCGCGCATATTTATTCACAAGCACTGGCCATTACGGCTCTCGGATTGCCTCGTGCAGTACTTGTCCCAGCCAGCAGATGCCATAAACGGCAGGTCAACGACTGAATATACCTCAGTGGCAATCTGGATGAGTACCAGGGGAACTGTTTCTGTGTATTAGGCCACAGTAATGGTCCATAATGCTCATGATAAGAGAGTGCCTGGGTACCTGTTGGAGCTCAGAGGATGTAGGCGGGCTGCAGGAAGTCCTTGGGGACGATGCCCACGGTGCCGTTCAGTTCGCCGACCCACCAGCCGTGGATGTTGTACTCCTGAACACAAGAAGGGAGCAAACGATGAAATCTCCGAGGGCTTCCGGGAATAGCAAACAAAAATAAATCCCAAGTGCAAATATCGATGATTTCCACATGATTGCAGAAGCCGTTTGCATGATTTGATCTCCAACTACGCTGCGCGAGCGTGAGGTCGAGGAAAATTAAAACAGGCCTTAAAAAAAAATGCAAAAACTACGAGGCTGAGATTGTTTTCCTTCTGCGTGAAGTCAATTACAAGCGAAGGACAAGCAAGAAACCACATCCCATTCAACAAACAGCCGTTCACAATATTTTAATACACACTGGGGCTCATTAGCCTCGAGGGGTTTTCATTAAAAAACTGGGCAAAACGGTAAACAAGGCAATCAGCATAGTAAGAGTCTAAAGTAAAACAGCTTTTTTTTTTTTTAATTGCTCAAAAGCCATAAACACAGTTGGCCTCCTTTCACTAGACTAATTAAGTCGAGACGTTTTCCCTGGAAGGACTTAATGCGGCTTCTTTTTGAAAATAGCTTCTACATTTAAAAAAAAGAGTCAAATTTGAGTTTTATCTATGAACAGAATAATAATAAATAAGAAGAACTAAGTAATTAATAGATAAATCAAACACAATGCAGCAAATTAACATTTTAGGAAATATTTTCCTACTATGAAAGACTTTTTCCACATTGATAGAAGAAAAAAAGAAAAACATTAAATATTTAATCTAAGGATTTTTGATTCAAGTGAATTTGTGAAATTTAATAAGTAGTCAATTGTGATAAAAGAAAAAAAATGGTTTAGTGAAAACATAAAATTTAAGTTGCAATCTGACTGATGTAAATATTTAAGATTTGTGTTTTAAGTCGCTCTTTTTCAATTCAATTTGACTTGATGCAGCAAATGAATTTAAAGTATTTCCAATTGAAGGCAAGTGGGTATTAAATATTCAACAAAGACGTATTTGAAAATATCAAATAAATGAGATCATTTAAGGGTCCACGAAGAACCGGTGTGATTAACAGAAACTCTCTTGAGATTTATTGATCACCTTTGATCATCTGATCAAAGCAGCAGGACCTGAACCCGACCGGCTGGCCCGTCGTCTCTGCTCTCAGGCGGATTGAAAACTGGCCGCAGGAGATGAAACACGAACACGAGGACGTGTCGGTGTCGGTCGGTGAGCATTCGACGGCTCTGCTTCCAGTCGCAGAAGCACAAACAAACTCTGACATGATGAAGCGCTCCGTGTCAGAGGTTTAGGCGATCTGCGGGACTTGACACCTCTCTCTGCAGCCAGAGGAATGAGGCCTGCAGCTAATGAGCGCTTCCTGGACAGCCAGGATGGATGAACCGTTCAGACGGTGACAAACCGCGAGACTCGGGAGTCTTTAGAGCACAAACAGACATAAGTAGATTGTCCACCCAGGCCTCATCGCTTTCCGCTCTGACTGGGGAGGTCGGGGCGTGCTGGGCCGCCCTCACTGTGTCTCTGTTCCTAACGAAGGGAGAAAGTTTGGCTGAAATGGGGCTTTTATGCTTCCCACAAGGCTTAGAGAGGGGGACAATCCGGAAAGCTGGCCGTGGTTCCTGTTGGAAAGGAACGGGAGAGAGAGGAAACAGACGGACGGGGGTGGGGTGGAGGCAGATCAGAGTGAGGGGAGCAAAACCGTTCTGCTCTCCCTTGGGGGCGTCGCAGCACTATTCCACCAACCGTAGTGACAGAGAGCTTTATTTATCTCCGCCGCCCATCTGTGCAGCCGGTCTCAAATTCTCCCCGAGAAAGGTCTTTTGGATTATCAACGCCGCCATTTTAATACAACTGCCGCATCGCAGAGTGAGCGCCGATGGCAGCGGGAGTCTGTCAGGCGTGCCGAGTCCATCTTCCCCGTACTTGAAATGGGTTCATCCAGAGTACACCTGCTGTAATAGGGACATTCCAAAAAAGCTACGGAGAGTGAATTACCCAAATGACTTAAAAACATTCTCCCCTTTCTCACGGCGTCCTTCTGCCGCCGCTGCCTGTGTCTGGGGTTATTTTGGATCTAGACACGAAACGAGCTGAAGAAGTTTGGGAGTGCTAACGTGAGACAGATTGGGGTTGTCTGTCTGTGTTTTGGGGGCAAGGGGGGTATTTGCCAGCATTGAGGGGCAGGAAGAGGCTGGGAGGTGTGTGTGGGGGCGTCGAACAGCGCCGTGTCGTGGTGGCGGCCGCGCGTCGACTCGCTGACCTCCCGGTGACTCCTCCGCCGAGAGAGCTCGGAGTGAGCGTGGGCGGGGCCGGCAATGGAGAGTGGGTTGCTATGACAACACCTGCAGTGTACCGGCGCGATCGTTTATTTACCACTCAGGGGGCTGGCTAATGGCGGCATTCCTGATAGGCCCATCGCTCACGGCGCGCGAGCGGAGGGGCAGACTGACAGCTTCCCGAGTCGGGAGCGGGGAGAAGGTGAGTGGAGGTTTAGTCGGGCGAGGCAGGTGTCACGCCGCCATTATGCAGCAAAAAACAAAAACCTGCTCCTCTTCTGATAAGCCACATTTTTTTCCATTTAAAAAAAATAAGAAATTCCTAAACATCAGTCCTTTTCTTTCCCTCTTTTTTTTGTTTTATTTTTCTCTCGCTCTCACACACACACTAACCTTCTCCTGGTGGAAACACACCCACTCGCATGTAATCCCAAATGCATACAAACTAGGGGGAGCGCTAATAAGCCTGACACATGAGGCATCTCTGCTCGGCCACCAGCTGACTGAGGCAGGCCTTGGGCGTGATGGAGCGCAGGAAGTCTCTCATTGCCCTGCCGCTGAACCCGCCGCCTGCTTGTTACAATCTCTCCCTCCTTCCACATTTCCAGCCCCCTCCATCTTTTCCTCCTGTTCCCTCTCTCTCTCTCTACTTTTCCCATCTCTCCTGCAGCAGCCTTTCTGCCTCCATCCTCGCCTTGTTTGTTTTCAATCCCTTCTCCTCTGTCGTCTCGGCGCACGCTCACCAGATGCACTGCAGGTCTCTGCAGCATCTAGGAGCCGCCTCACTGCTTGCACAGATACACTTCATAATGCCAGAAACGGGGGGACAGACTTTTCTCAGAATGGATTTGGAGCCACAAAGCCCGCCCAAAAAAATATTCATACCTCTTGAAATTTTCTAATTTTTTCAAAAGTTACGACGACAAACGTCATCGCAGTTTGGGGTTTTATATGGCAGGCCATTTCTGTGCAGAGCATAATTAAAGTGGTTTGAAAATGATTCATGATTGTAATTTTTT